AAACCTATTATCTAAATAACATAAAACTTCACTCTTAATCAGGAAGGCAACATGCCCTAAATTGTCAACCCTCCATGATATTTATCATACCAGAAGAACAGTATATATTGTCAGCTTTCATATAGAATGATGCAGCTGAGGATGTGATTTCTATCTGAATAAATGAATATACTTAGGTTATTCAAGGTTAGAATCTTAGGGCCAGGGAGAAAAGGTAGAGATAAGAAACAGTAGGAGTGTAACAAGAACGATTCAATGAACAGTAGATAAACTAGAATGCTCTTATATGTCAGACAATGTTGAAAAATCTTATGTAGTTTTACCAGCAGAAGTTGGTTTGGTATCTGCGGGTCAGAGCAGGAGGCTGGGAGATCTTAATATGCAGTGTCAGTACAGTATCCTAGTTCACCTGGGTGGAGCAGCTGGGTCCACCTCAGGTGTACACCCCCATAAGGGAGGGAAACACTAATCTGTGGGAGTGGGATAGTCTTTACATTAGGCAGTACTAGCCACATAGTCTCTGGTTCATCCTTTTTAATCTATATGGTCCTGCTGAAGATATTATTTCAGCAGCACTACAGCACTGCATTACAATTTTTTCCCAACAGCCATATCACAGTCATATTTTCTTGAGGATACAGATCTCTTTGATCAGGTTTGTGAAGCACCCTGGACTCATGAGCAACATGGAAGTCATTTCTTAGGAGTGGGTTACTTTAAGAGTCGGCTAGTATATTTTTTCTATGTTGATGCTTATCTGTTTCAACTTGAGGCTGAATCTTTACCTTGTTTCCACATGCAGGGGTGCATCCTGTCTGGGACTTGTGATTCCTAGGCATTTACTCTAGTCATTATGTTAGCCGCACAGACACTGGTATTAGACAGACCAGTTGGGGAAAGCTGTTTACTCTCTCTAAGCCGTAGTCGCCATGTACGTAGAATGGAGATAATTACCTGCTTACTGAGTTGTGAGGACTGAGATAATGCATATAATGCACAGCACCTGGCGCATGGTAAGTGATTGATACATATTAGCTATTTTCACTACAGCATTAACAAAGTATGTATGTTGCATTCCAAGAATGGATATATCTCATATGGATATAAATATTATTTTATGTCTGTTAAAAGCATTACTTTATGTATCATTTTGGTTTAAAATCCTGACACTGGAAGACACATAAGGTTATATCCATTATGTGTAGTCTGTAGGAGGTCCATGCCAACCATCTGAATGTTCTGGTCCCAAACACCAATCCTGAAGACACTTGTCCATGGACATGTCTCTCCCCACTCCCTCTTTGGTGCAGCAACTCTTCATGACAGGTTTTCAGCTAACAGCAGTACTATATCCCTGGGGAGGGACTGGAACTGTGGAGAGGTGTTTTTGGTTGTCACAATCACAGGGGACTACTGTTTGCTGGGGGTGTGGGGGGACACAAATGGTAAATGTGAAGAAGGCCCACAAAAACAATTGCTTTGGCCAAAACACCAATAGCGCCTCCACTGAGGAACTTTGCATAGACTTTCACAGTTGAAAAACAGACATCTCTCTGGCCCGGATTTGCAATGAGCTGCCTGGTTCTTTCCCTTTCCCTTTCTGGTTGAATATGTGTTACAAC